ACTATGTAATATATTACTATTATGTCATATAGCTGTAGAATAATATACTAATATATATCATTTTATCTATTCTGTTATGTAATTAATGGTATATATTGTATAATTAACAAAAGAAGCCCCTTGATAAAGCCCCCCAGTGACCATTCCAGAGAGAGAACTCCTTTTGTTGTCCCGTTTCTTCTCTCGCAGCAACTACAGCGCCCTGCTGGGAGTGTGGATCTATGGCTTTTTTGTGGTGATCCTGCTCATCCTGGACCTTTTGTATTACTCCTCCCTGAACTATGACATTTGCAAGCTGTACCTGGCACGCTGGGGGATCCAGGGCAAGTGGATGAGCCAGGGACAGAGCCGATGGATCAGCCCCGCTCAGGACCCCAGCCAGGCTCAGGCACAGCCCCCGCCACAGACTCAGCCCCAGCCAGCACAGACAGTTCACACTCTAAAAGGAGATGCTTTAAGCCCACCCCTGATGTCTTTTCAGAGTTCATCTGCCTGGTGAGTAACTCGAGACCATTGATGTATGTTCTCTTGACTCTGCTGGTTTGCAATGTGAATAATCACCTGGTTTTTGGAAGGGTCTGCACATTCAGGCTGAACAGCACCATTGCTAGCACATAATTCTTGATATCATGAACTGTCTTACAGAGTTACTACTTAGGAGTAATGCCTTACTCTGGAATATATTAAGACAGTGCTAAACAGTTTTACTACTGTCATACAAATCTTTGTTCTGCATCAACCATTATAAAATTAGTTCTAATCTGGTCTCAAAGACTAATTGCTGTGCGTATCTGTTGGTCTGGTTTGAAAAGACTATGTGTATCTGTTGGTCTGGTTTTAAAAGACTGTATAAATAGCAACACTGAAAGAGCTTCAGTGTGAGATGTCACAAATCCTCTCTGTTTGTGGTGTGAGATATGGAAACAACATAAAAAACGGGTTAGTCTTTTTTACATGCACAGCCAAAAAAACCATAGCTTGGTCTCATTTGACAGTGACACAAGTAGGCTACTGTGGAGTTAAATTCTGCAAAGCCAAAACAAAATCTCCAAAAAAACCCCAAACAACCCACATCAAATGGGAGACAGATCCTATGGGAGCAAGCAGAACTGGAAGTATAAATAGAAGAAACTAAACGCTATCTAGCCATGGGACAAAATGATACTAAATTATTTTGGACTGTTTTTTTTTTAACCAAAGAAAACAAAAGCAAAGGGAAAGAGCTGAATAAAACATTTCTCTGAATAAGGTATCCAGAATGGCAGGGATTGTTTATTTCTTGGCAAGAAAGCATAAAGATGTGGAAGGACGCAGAGAGAGAGTACAGAGTCACCAGTGTAGTTTAGAAGTGTTCCAGAAGGCTGAGTGCTGACTTTTGGCAAAATAAAATGATCTGAGAATGAGGAGGGTGAAGAAGATGACTCCTGAAGCTGTAGAACATGTGAAGCCCCAGCACTGATCTCGGTGTGAAACCTTTGGGTGTCACTGTGTTGCAGGTGGGATGGTGACAGCAAAAGTCCTTTTATTTCGTAATTCCCCCTTAATTTTAAGTAAGTCTGGAGCAAATAGAGTTGAAGGTTTGTTGCCATTAGGGATAGTTTGACAAAGATCAGTGAAAGAGGAGGTTGTTTGGCATCACAGCCAGTATTGGATGTATCCAGGTCAGGCTTAAGGACCATTCCAGTAGGCCTTGTCCAAACAGAAGAGTCTAAGGCTGCTACTTAAGAGACAATCACTTGTGCTTAGTTGTAAGCACTATTCTTTTCACTCCTTTTTTCCTCTTCTTTCCTTTTTTCTTCTTCTGATTCTTCCAGCTTTTTTTTTTTTTGCACATTGATTTCTGAGTCTTCAGTTAAAATTGCCATGTAGATTAAAAACATCTGTAGCACAGTAATTGTATTTTAGCTTAATACTTGTGTGTATATATATATACAAAAATGACTACATATATACATGAAAACTATTATTCTGGTTATACCACTTAGTAATTCTGCCATACCATTATAAATTGTAGCTATCCAATAATTCTTGAAGGATTCCTGGTCACATTTTATTGCTGATTTCCCTTGTTCTGTTTCTCTGCTTTTCTTGAAGCGTTAAGAGGGCAATGTATGTTAGGATCAGGTGAGCACATCCCACATGCTCCTTTTCCTGTGTTTGCAATCCTGTGTGATTGATAAGTCACTCCAGTAACCCTCACCTCTTTCCCAGTGAACTGTTTGTCTCTGCTCCCCCCAGTTCCCATAAAATTGTTCCTTTTCTTTTTCCCTAATCCTTTCGTCGCTCGATGGAAGAAAGAAGTAGATGCTTCCCTAGCAAAACCCTATAAATCCCTTTTATTTCAGCATGTAAAACACTACAAAAGGTGCCATATTTTCAAACTGATAACCTGCAACTTTCGAGACTCAAGGAAGTGCAGAGATGATTCAGTGTGAGTTGGATACATAAAAAAATAGCAATAGGCACTGGTGATCACAGGCAAGATGTTTAGCATGCAAAGGAGGTTTTTGAGTAAACAGCTCCCTCAGAAAATGACAGATTTGTGTACTACACCAATTGCTAACACGGTGGGGAGTGGGTTGCCTGGCTATTTATTCCTCTGTTAGATAATCTGCAGGTTATAGCCATGAAAATATGGTAATTTTGCCCTACAGAAATGAAGCTCGGTTTCAGAGTCTGGTTTTCTCAGTCTGTATTTGATGAACAACCCCAGGACTGTCTGCTCAAAATCTAATTGTACTATCAGTGAAGAAGTGCAATGGACTTACTGGATTTATTTTCCATGACTGGATTTAAAATTACAGAGTCTAGTAATTTTTTTTTCCTTTTTCATTTTGCACCTGAATTTCCATTTTTCCAGATCGTGACACCTGCTCTGGTAACAGCAGGTTTCCAGGCTCAAATAATCCACTTTGCAGTTTGTGTTGCCATTTTTAACGTGTCCCAAAACTAGAGAAAAATAAACATTTTCCTTTAGCACTTCACAAACATACCATGTGTAACATAGGGGTGATATAAGAACAGTTCCTGTTTACAGGCGAGCATTTTGAAAATAGAAAATTAATCCTGGGGGATGTGAATGGATCCCAGGGCGTAAAAACTTAAATACTGTTTAAAAACCTCTTTCCGAAGCAGTTTGCAGGTTTTCACGATGACAGATGTTGTGGAAGTTGGTAACTTCCTGTGCTACATTTATCCAAGCACAGTTAAAAATATGCCCATTCTGGAGGACACATTCCAGGATAATTCTTGCACAGCAAGAATCTCAACCACACTGAAGACTTTGAGCATCCTTAGAGAACTGACAGAGTAAGAAACTGCCCCAGGAAGGATGTCAGGATTAACCTGCAGCTTGTAAAGCAGTTGGGGATCTTCCTGGATTAACAAAATAAATACATAAATTACGTAAGTAAGTGGCTTTTAGTTTATGATTTCTCTTCTTGTCTTCATTTAAATGCCATGAATTGGCAGTGAAACTGAAACAGGTGTGTCAGAGAGGAAAAATCAAGCAAGTAATGGTATGTAGTGGGTAGAACCAGCCCCAAGGTGTTTGAATGTTTTGTCATAGCAGATCACTTCATTATTTACTTGAGACAAAGAGGACCACGTACAGGCACAATATTGTTATAAATGAAGAAGTCTGGAGTCTGTTATACCTTCTGCTGGCTGCTCTGCAGTGCTGGGCAAGGAGAGGAAGGAAAACCATTGATCTCAGGAACACCCAGCCCCGTTTGGAATCCTGTAACTTCCCCCTGTAGCGTGGATTTTGCAGCCCCACTAATGTTATTTCTTCTTCAGCATGAAAACCATCT